TTCGGCGCTCGGCCTTTTTTATGGTCCAGCTCTCACAGCCATACATTACTACTGGACACAACAACATTAGCCAACCCTAAAGAAACTCAGCTGAACCCAGCCAGTGCATCTGCTTGCTAGTTCTTCCAAGAGTAGCTTGCAGCTCGATGCTCTGGGCATTTCCAAAGTGCAAAATTTGCATATTTGCACATGGCACGTGAAACTTACCTAATTACACCACCACCAGATTTGAAGGTTTGCCTGCCAACTCTTTCACCTCATGGAAAAGAAAAAGATTGTATTTGTTCCTCTGAATTAAAACTCGCAATTATATTCAACAGCAGGCAAGTCTGTCAGGCAGATTATAAAAAGGACAATATCAAAAGAACAACGAGAAAGATATGTAATTTATTTCGCATTAGACAGCAGCTGTTCATTATTACTAAACCAACAAAACAAACATTAACAAAAAGCATTATGACTTAATGCAACATGTGAACCCGTTCAGCATGACCCAACCCAACCAGCTGGGGCTCCCCAAGAATCTCTCCACATCCCATGGTTGCTTCAAAACTTTTCAGTTTTGGAAAATCACTGATTTTGATCACTGGTTAAATCCTATGGTGCAGAGGACAGTCGGTCAGCATTACCATTGCTGTTTATGTCCTGTGATTTAAAGTTGAAATTAACCCACCCAAAGATTGTTTTTCGGATTTATTAGACACCATCAAGAATGTTTCAGAAGGGATGGACTAATGATTACAGCATTTGTGTTGGCGTTGTAAGAAACTGGAGGGCATTTTAATTCTTATGTTATGATCGTGTTCTTCTTTACAATGCTTGGAGTAATGTTATACAAAATGTTGTGGGACAACTTTGGTTTTTAAACGTGCACATATTGTATTAAATTCTATACCTACTTCTTGGAACTGTTCTGAACAAAGATGGGATTTCATGCTGTAGGAATAGCATCTTAGGAAATGGGAAAATACTACAGATATGAAGGATTGGGTTTTAGAAATGTCTGACCAACCACTTTTTGAGAGAATGATCTATTCTGTCAGTCAGAAAATGTAGGTCATATTATCTTTCCCTTTGGAAAAAATTCTTGGAGTGTCTTGGTGAATATTGAAAATTCAATTTCCTCTGTCAAAGAGTGTGGATGAGATGCAAGCAAGGATGGTTTGCACAGATACAAAATGTCAGAGAGGTATTTAGATTTACAATATTAGGTGAACTTGGAATATATTTGTAATTAGAGGCTTTTCTCTTTTTTCTGCTTTTATTTGTCACATTGTGGGGGGTTTTTTAAGTGCATTTCATTTTTATTCTTTGTATATTTGTGTGAAAATGTATAATGTACATAATTAAATCATTTTGTAAAAAAAGATTCACCATTACTTAAGGCTAAGATAGGTAGCTAATGTAGGTAGCCATAGTAGGATTTGTTTTGTTGCAACACAGCTATAAACCATGGTTAATGGGTCAGCACTGGGGCACATTTCCAGTTCTGAGTGAGTGTTCTTGGCGGTCTTGCAAAATGCTTGCCCTGGTTTAGATGGCCACTCACAAGACAGCCCTTTAGCAGGAAGCAAATCCAACCACTGACACTAGGTCTCTGGGAATGTATTGCACAAAGCAGAGTGTGGATAAGATGCAAACAAGGATGGTTGGCAAGGACACCAAATCGCAGAGAGGTACTATGAACCATGTTGAAGAAAATTAGATGTAAGTTTTTTTGTGGTCCTATAACTCGTATTATCTTTCCCTTTGGAAAAAATCTTGGATAGTCTTGGTGAATATTGAAAATTCAATTTCCTCTGTCAAAGAGTGTGGATAAGATGCAAACAAGGATGGTTGGCAAGGACATGAAATTGCAGAGAGGTATTATGAGCCATGTAGATGTAGGGTTTTTTAGTGGTCCTATAACTCCTGCATTTTGCCTTAATTTCTTTGGCCCCTATTGATTGTTCCTTTCCTCTGCATTGCGTAGCATTGATTTAATAATAGGGAAGTATAAACTATACCAACAAAAGAAAAATTAATAATTCACAGTGATTATAGAGTTAAGAAGAAACTAAGACACAATGGTGACTAAAGTGAACAAAAATTTAAAGAAAGGGGAAGAAGAAAATGCAGTTCCTATAAGGTTGATGTAGAATTCGTCCAATCCTTGCACTGCATAGCCTTGCTTGCCACAAAAGGGAAGAGTGTGAGGGGTGTGTGTAAGTATCTGGGTCAGAATATCCCTGGGAGGTTAAAAATATAATATCCAGGTTGGTACTTCACTTTCTAGCATTCAACCTTCTCATAGATGTAGCATATATAATAAACTTTTTTTCTTTTTTTTTTTTACAAAAATAGATGGGGTTGGCCCTTTTTGGGTGCTAGAAAATCTCTTCAAGCCATGGGTTACCTCCAGGCATCACATTGGAGGCAAAGGCCTTTACTGATTGTTTTGACCCAAGCAACTGGGGCTTGGAGAATATCATAGTTCAGATAAGCCATAGCAGTCAATACAATAGAGGTGGGTGGGTGTGAGATATAGTACCCTAAAAATAATTGAAAAATATTTGGAAATACTTTCAAATAAAGGAAGAGACCTAATTAGTGTGAAATATGATTTGATTTTGTCTGCTAAGAAGGAAGTATACAAAGTCAGAACCAAATGTGAGAATTAAGACTTATGGTGATTACTAGCCTAAATACCATGAATTATGGAGTAGAAGAGATGGCATCAAGGGGTTGGAAAGAGGACATTTGTCTACCAAGAGATCTTGGGAATTTCTAAACTCTCTTTCATCTGACTGGCTAACAGTATCTTCCCCTCTCCCTTCCTCCCTCCCTCTCTCTATCATCCTTTTTAGTAGGATATTGCCTGGATGTACAAGGATTTCTTTGTGTGTGTGCATGCATGTTGAAAAAGTATGTTCCAGAAAATAGTTGAAATGGGTAAACCATGCTTCTGGCTTGAGATGTGGGGCTCTCTTTATTTCATGTGTTGACACTGTATAATCTATGTGATCCTAAATATATATTTTGTAACACTTGTGGAGTCAGTCGTCCCAACCTCCAAACACAGACCAGTCTACATTGCTCCTTCATAGTTGCATTACTTTTGCTTTCCAATTTTTAAAAATAATATATGCAGATGTTTGAAAGAGAAAACCAGAACTTTCATGACACTCTGTGGTTTATTGGAGGCCCCATCACCTTTCAGTGAATTAAGTTCAGATAACAATGGGGTGGGACAGATGGATCACCAGGGAACTCGGCGCCCCATCCAATCCAGAAAGGTCCCGTTGTCCTCTTCGGAAAGCATGGACAGCACAGTCACGATACCTTGTGTGCTCTCTTCCACGGTGATTTCCGGCTGCCACAGAGAAGATCTCATAAAGTTTAAAGAATCAGTCCTGCCCAGCCCATAATCCTCACCTAAGCAGATCAGCAGAATGCAGTCTGACCTCTCATCATGAATACTCAGCCCTAATTTGTATGACATTTAAATTGGCCAAAGATTTATCACAGCCCTTAAATTTGGGTTAATTGAATAAATTAAATGAACTATGGTCAAGCACGCCTAGGTACTGAGTCAAAAGATTTGCTTTTAATATTTTAAAGCAGAATTCTTATGATTTATCTCAGTAGGTTAATGTTCTCCACCTTCTACCGTTACATTTTGCAAAATATACTTTTTCAGTTAGCATATTATGTTTCCCCAATTTTCAATAAACCATTCTTTAGAAGACTGTCACTTAGTAGAATGTGAAACCTGCCTTAGATCTTAAGCAGAAATGGGAAGGACTGGATCTGGGTCATTTCAGATATAAGCACATGCTTTCCTGCAGAAATAGTGTTCTACAAATAGGAAGAATCTTCAGTAACTCATACTGCAATTGATAGGATGAGTCTTTGAAGGTTGGACACTAGAGGGAACTAGAAGAAACTAAAGATTACAATTAAAGGAGAAGAACACTTAAATTCAACTTACAAATACAGAATGAAGCAAAATATTTTAACATTGGACATACTGAAGGATATTTTGGAACAATGGACCCTGATATTAGTGTTAAGAGTATCTGCCTCTGTAGGTAGACAGTGTTTACAAGGTTATGGAAGACAAATAAGTTTTACCTGACAAGATTGAGACTAATCTGAAAGTGAATTTAAAAATGACAGGCTACAAGGAAAATATGGAAAAAGATGCTACACTGGACATACAAAAGAAACTGGCTGATCTCTTAATAATTAAAATAATTATAAGGGATATACAAATAAACCAAGAGAATGACCTGGATAATTTCCTATACTGCATTTACAAAAGATGCTTGTTAAAGCTTTAAAGACATTTGTGAGAAGGGACAAAGAAAAAATGAAAAGAAATCAAGTTCTAGGACATTATTTGAAGGGAATAAAGATCAAGAATGTTAAAAGTAAAAGGGAGGAATATAAAGTTGGTTTATTTCATCAAGGTTAAAATAGATATTAAAAGACTTACATATGGGTTACGACGTGTATTTACCAAGCCAGGATGGATGGAGATGCTCAGAATCCCATCAGCTGAATACTCGAGTGACTGGCACTTGGTGACCATGTTTAAAGCAGCCTACATGGGTGAAAAAAAGAACTATAAGGAAAACGCATGCCTTAGAAAGGGAGGGGGAGGGGGAGATAAATCATTGTACGACAGGATATTGGACAAAACTCTTATCCTCATCCAGGGCTGGAAAGGAGGAGGCAACACACCATAACTGGACTAAACAATTCCTTCATCACACAAAGGGGAGAGGGAACGAGAAAGCCAACCATATGCATTGCTCTGGCTAGCAAAGAAATCGGTATCTCATTGATTACATTCTCAGAGAACAGGCATCCAGCCAATCATGGCTTAGTTTGGGCATCCCCACAGCTTGAATGCTGAGGACTAGAAGGCTGGTTCCTGCACCCTCAGTCCCTGACAGGTTCATCCACCTCGCCCATATTAGACTTTCGGTACAGTTGATCGTGGCTGCATGTGGGATCATGGTGTTTGCTGCAGTCTCCCTCAACAGCTAGGATCAGCAAGGATCCTCAAAGCAAAAATGTGCACCAGCCTCCGTTGAACAATCTCTCCAGGTTGCTAAAACAAACTCATCTAAATGGTTGGCTTTTGTGTAGAGCATTTTCTCAGCTTAACATACTTTATACCTCAGACCTTCCCACTTTTTCAAAAAAATTTTTTTAAACAAATGAAAACAGGAATTGTTTATGTGTGCAGTAAAACAGAAAAGCAAGCAATTCAAGGCAATTCCTTCTTTTCTTCATTTTAGTCTTGACATTAGAGATCAATCTGTGTCATCTGTAAATGAAATCATTTCAAAATCAAGCCCATTTAAATTTGGACACAGTTTTTTAGGGGAAGAAATCCAAGACTGCAAGAGAGCACTTGCATACAAGAACTCTGCACTAGCTTAAAACCCGTGCATTAAACATCCCTATTTCCTGTGTTTCCAAACCATTCCATATCTCACCAGTCAGTAATCAATTTATCTTTAAGGGACAAGCATGTATGGACAGACACAGTAATGACTAAAAAAGGGCAGGCCATTCTACACAGAAATTGCATTAGGTACCTTACTGCAGCGGTATGAAACTGCCTGCCCTTTTTCCCAAATAAGCATAACCTCCATTGAGCCAAGAGCACTGGAGATATTGATGATAGCTGCCTTGCTGCTGCTCAGCCCTTCCCTTGGACTTCGCTGGGCTGCCTTCTTCAACAGGGGCAGAAAGGCCTTGCAGGGGGGAAGAAAAGAGAATGGGTTGCAGCTAGATCTGTGAAAACGTGCTGTGCAATGAGAGTCATCAAATATCGAAAGGGCCTTCTAGCAACGTAAGCTGATCTCCAAGGAATCCTCACACAGTCATCCAGGCCCTGACCAGGCCCAGCTAGACCACTGTAAAGCTTTTTATAGGGTCCCTTTCAAGATGGTTCTACAGCTTCAGCTCATGCAGGGTATGGATTTCTGGATGACTTTCAAGGAGAAATAATGCAAGAGGTGGGCAACTTGACTTTCCCTTTGAATTTCCCCCAGGAATGTCTCTGGGGGAATTTTTAAGTGTGACCCCACAGATGGCACCTATTCTGTATGAGCCACTCTAGCAGCAGCCAGTTTCTTCTGAACCAAATCAGAAGTGCTTAGGGATTATTTTCAGAGCTTTAAAGAGGAATCTAAGGCAAGCACTACCTCCTAACGTCTACTAGGGTGACGCAATCAAAGAGAAGGACTTATAACATGGTGGCTTCATTTCGATGGACTGTTCTAGCAACTGAATTGTAACATGCTGATTTGTTAATCACTCATTAAATTACAGCAAACGGAATAACTTCAAAAAGAAACCGAATTCTTATGGGGATGTATTCTAAGACGGCCAAAGAACATTTTTACACAAGAACTCTGCACCACTTCAAAACCCCTGCAACGTGTTTGTATGGTGCCTTATCCAAAGATTTCGGACTGTTTGCAGCAGAATAAATAGACAACCTAACACCAAAGACATAAATACCAATAATATAAATAATACAATAATATCCCTGTTCACCCCCAGATCTCTTAATTATTGTTATATTCTTCTCATCTTCTCCCTGTAACCTCTCAGGCAAAGCAATATTTATACTGCTTTTGAAAAGATAATACAGAAGATAATAATTGCAACCTCAAAAGCTGCTCAGGAAGGAGGGGCTATGAACAAGGGAGTCTATTTCCAGACTCCCAACCCTTCAACATCTCACTGTGAGAGGAGTTCACAGCATCACATTTCAAAGTCCACATTTTGGGAAGAGAGATTCTTCCTGCAGCAGGTGGCCCCACAAAGGCCTTTATAGGGAGATAACCTGCATCTTGAACTGGACTCGGGACTGGACTTCATCCACTGTTTGGCCCACCTTAAATCAATGGACAACTGTTAGCAGTCTCATGCAAATATTTAACAAAAAGACAGAGAGGGCTAAGCCATGAGGCTCCCCACATTAGACTGCCCAAAGGCTTGACTTCTTCTCACCCTCCAACCCCAATTGCAACCATCCATTCAGGAAAGGACAGAACCACCATGGGATGGTGCCCTCATTTCTGAAAACTGGAGGTAGTCCAAAAATATAACATAATCGGTGGTACTTAACACTGCTGAGAGATCAAGCAGGACAAGGAGGGGCACTACCTGATCAAGGCCTGCCACAGGATATGCGCCACAACAATCAGTGCAGTCTCCCTCCCATGCGCCAAAAACGGGAGGGATCAAGGTAATCCACTTTCTCAGGAGTTCTCTGTAATTGTCTTGCTACCACCTTCTCCCATAACCTTCCTGACAAAGGGCAGGTGGGAGATAGGTCAATAGTTGTGAAGGCTACTTGGGTCAAGAAATGGCCTCTTGAAGAGGGGATGCATAACCTCCATTCACCATCACTAGTATCAAGGTCACATTCCTTAATCCCTGGAAACACAGATTAGCCAGGTCAATAGGGATCAAGCCCAATCCTGGTGGAGCTTATCTCACAGAGAAGAATTGTATCAATTTCCTCAGGTTCATGGGTTTGAATAATCCCAGATGACCTTGTAAAATGTTGCCTTGCTATCTCTAAGGATTATGTCAAGCCAGTATCTAACTCTGAAGGAATATGGGTGATTCTAATCACAAAGGTCACAGTGGCCTGGAAGATGTTCTTCTGACCAAGACTCTTCAAAATAGAGCATATAGCCAAGGATCCTGGATGTTCCACCTGCTTCCAAATCACTCTACAATTTCTACTCATTTTCAGCATTATTATTCTGCTTTCTTTCTTTATAGTAATTGTTTCAGCACTTTAGGTTTATGTTAAATAATAGAAGGTACTTTGTTCAAATGTGGTTTACAAAATTAAATAATAAACAAACCTGACTCATTTGCAGCGGCCCAATGGTGTTCACTGAATATAGGGCCATCATATCCTTGGCGTTTTCATTTTCTAGATTTTTGAAGAACCAAGTGCCAGCATTGTTGATTAGGAGGGTCAGCCCAGCTTCTCCAACACACTTTTCCACCTCTTTTACAGCTGCCTTGATGCTCTCAAGAACAGTGACATCTGAGGAATGATAACAGTATTTCAACAATAACAAAATGCCCCTTCAAAATTGTTTGACAGGTGTTTATTGGAACTTCAGAAGCAACTAGAGGCTCCTTGAGTGGCAACTCGATAGATCCCAGGCCCAAATTGTTGAGAGCACTAATTTCAATAAGTGTGTGACAATATTAGCAAGGAATGCAAAAAGTCAGTAGCTGAAGATCACCAACAAAGTTACATTCTGCTAAAAATTAGTCTTAAAGCGAGGCTAAATAATAAAGGGGATTTGTTCTTTTTGGAATCAGAGACCAGCTGTGACAGGGATTGTCTTCAGACATTGTTTTAAGTGATTATTTCTTTACTGTCATCCTGTGATTCTCCAGCTACAGAAGTCAGAACATATTCTCCTAATATAGAAACCCAATAATGGAAGGTCACACAACAGATTATTCACACCGAAACAAACCACAATGACCCCTGCCAGTCATATTGCAGGCTCTGATAGTTCCAGCAATGGCTGTCAGCTGGATGCTCTGGGTATTTCTGTAGTACAAAATTTGTCCCATTTGCAGATGGCTCTTGAAACTCACCTAGTTGCAACAACACCAGGTTTGGATGCTCGCATGCCAACTCTTTCACTTCCTGGAGGAGGGGGGAAAAGTATAGTTGTCTCAGAATTAAAACTGGCTATTATATATCAAAATCAGGCAATGAGTTGAGTCAGGTTCCAAAGAGGACAATATTAAACAGTGAACAAGAAAGGTATACAAATTTATTTATTTGAAAGACTTGTATGGCTACCAATCTTACGTACCATAACTCTGGGAAGCTCACCAAAACAGCAATAAAAACATCAAAAGATAAAAGCATCAAAAATTCCCCACACCCCAAAACAAGCACTCCTCCATATAGCAACATTTAGATTGACCAGGTTCCCTCCTCACCCTAACTCAAAGCCTTCAGAAGGCTAGGCGGGTAGGGTCTTGCTGGTTCTTGGGCGAAGGGTGTCCACAGGGCAGGGGCTGCAACAGAGGGGGCATGCTTGCTAGATCCCACTTGATGACATCTAAAGGAACAGACCTGGAGTGCACTCACCCTATCCAACCTGGTGGGACGGGCAGATACCTTCAGGGAGAGGCACTCCCATAATAGCCTGGCCCATGCCTTTCAGAGCTTTAAAGGTGCTGACCAGCTCCTTAAATTGCACCCAAAAAGAAATAGGAAAACGGTGCAGCTCATGGAGCAGCTGGGTAATATGTGCAAACTGTGGAGCATCCAGAATTGCGTGCACCACTGCATTCTGGACCAGTTGTAACATCTGAATGGCCTTCAAGGGCAGCCCTATGTACAGTAATCCAACCAGGAAGTCGCCAGGGTGTGAAGTTGTGTTTCATTACATGGCACAGGTATAAGCATTAATTATTTTTTATTAATTAGGCAAAACAAACAATAAAAAAGCAAAAGGAAAGGAAAGGGAAAAGAATACATATACATACATAAAATACAAATTGCACAATATGATGGAGGAAGGAGAAGGAGAAGGAGAAGGAGAAGGAGAAGGAGAAGGAGAAGGAGAAGAAGGAAGAGGTCTAAAACACAGAATCTCCTGCTTTACTAGCTCTGCCGTTATAATATGCTAAGGTAGACATTTAACATGTACAGCCACCATCCAACTCAGTCACTGTGATCCCTAACCATGTTTAATGGTTCCAGACGGGGCTGTCCTATTTGTTCAGGCTAGTAAGCAGATTTGACATTCTCAACACGTGTTATTTGCACTCTCATAAAATAGTTGTCAGGAAGCAAATCCAGAAAGGCTGCAGCCATCCAGTGGTATATGAATGGGTAGAAGCGAGGAAGGTTTCCAAGGAAGGAAACGCACAGAGACGTATATTGAATATGGCTGGAAAATATTAGATTTAGTGATATTTCCTGTCCCTTTCATTATTTCACCTTAATTTAGTTGCTTCGGTATTTCCTATTCTTTTTCTGCACTTTACATAGCATTGCTGTGAAAGGGAAAGTGTGATGAGGGTTATATATGGGTGTGAAAATGTCCCTGTGAGCTAAAAAACCTGGAAATGCAAGTTATGCTTGAGGCTGGCACTTTGCTTTCCAGCACTCAAGTTTCTCATTCAAAAAAATTAAAGAATCTAAAGAAAAGTAAAGTTTAGGGAGGGAAGGGCACTTGGTGGGTGCCAAATAACATGTTGTGGGCATGGCAATATTGGAAGCACCTCTTGCAGGCATATGGGCTGAGAGATACTCTGGAAGCCACAAATCAGCTGTGGTCATTTCAGTGAGAACTTGCACCCAGGTCATTCCAGCCTTGGTTTAACACCTTAACCACTACACCCCACCATCCTGCAATATTAAGTGATTCTTACCTTGGTTTCTTCTCCATTCAGATCAAGAGTTGTAGCAAAGACCCATTTGGGTGGAGAAGGCAGCATCAGAAACCTCTTCACCAGACCGAGACCTATCCCCCGATCAGAGCCTGTCACCAGAACACTGAAAACGGAAAAGTCGGCTGCCTTGGCCATCTCTTTCAGGAGCTTCAACTTCTGCTTCCAACTTCCTTGAAGGTTTGCTTCAAATGCTTCTTCTCATTGTAAGAGGCATAATTATAAGGAACAGGCCACACCCACCTTTAAATCTTCTAATAAACTTCATCTACATATGGGGGATGGCAACAGTGATTGTGTTAGTCAAAAGAGTAGTCAAATCAACAAGGGGATCCACACCCTTCTTACCCTTCCACCTCTGCTATCTAAGAATACTCTACTTAGAAATTAGTTTATCTTTGGACTTTTCTTCTCCAGGTAGGTTGAGTGGGAAGAGGAAAGCTGAAGAACCTGGTATAGCAACTGGTCAACTTGCCACCAACATTCTTTCTAAAACTTGAGGCTGAGCACATGTCAACAGAGGAAGGCTCACAGCCCACTGATCATTCTTATTCACTCAATGCTGACTGGATTGGAAAACAACTGCAAGGCTGTTATTTCCATCACTTTCTTCAGGAAACCCAGGGAACAAGTAGACATTCATTAAAGAAAGCAAATTAAGCAGGTATCTATTTGAACTTTCACACTGCACACCATATTCAAACCACTTCCTCTGCATTCAGAACCACTTGAATTTGCTGGATAAACCTCCTTTCTGCAAGGACGTTCAGTGGCACTCTAATCCTATCTCATATAGAGATATCAGTTTGGTATGAACATGGCCAAGGGGCTGGAGGAAGAATGAGGTCTTATCCTCGGCAGCTGAGTACCAGTACCTTTATTTAACTCTTATTTGTTTGTTTGTTTGTATTTATATAGCCGTCCATCCCAAATACATACTCTGGGCAACAATTAAAATAGCAAAAACAACAAACTACCCAACAATTACAACAAAAAACAGTTAAAAACAATTAAAACCTGTAAACATAAATCACAGGAGAGTGCAATCCAAATCTTACAGACAATACAGCCATTTTGCAGTCTCCATATCTCCAGGGGATCCCCAGGCCCACTGGCAAAACCAAGTCTCCAGTGCCTTCTGGAAAGCCAGTAGGATTGGGGCCAATCTAACCTCAGGGGAGATGATGTCCCAAAGGGCAGGTGCCACGGCAGAAAAGGCTCTCTTTCTGGGCCAGTCAGATGAAACTCCTTAGCAGACAGGACCTGTAGCATGCCCCTTTTGCAGGACTGACGGAATGGGTAGACATAACCAGGGACAGGCAGTCTCTCAAATAACCTAGCTCCATGCCATGTAGGGTTTTAAAGGTCAAAACCAGCACCTGGAATTGAAACCAGAAGTAAACTGGCAACCAACATAGTTTGCAGAGCAGAGGTGTAATGTGTGCTGATCTATGAGAACACATAATTGCCTGCATTTTTCACCAGCTGAAGCTTCCAGATTATCTTCAAGAGCAGCCCTTGTAGAGCACATTGTACATTAGTCCATTCAGGAGGTGACCAGGGCATGAGTGACTGAGAGTAGAGCCTCCTGATTGAGGAACGGGCACAACTGGTATACAAAAAGGAAGTTGCATAAAGGTCCTCCTAGCCATGACTATCACCTGCTCCTTGAGCTGGAGTCACGAGTCCAGAAGGACCCCAACATTCCACAGTGCCACCCCATATAGCACCAAAGACAGTAAATTCCTGGATCTAGAAGACTCCAAAACCCAGAGCCACCCAGTCTTGCCAGGGTTGAGCTGAAGACTGTTGTTCCCCATCCAAACCCCCACAGCCTCCAGACACCAGAAGAGGATCTCAACAGGATTGCTGGAGCCAAGTGAGTACTGAACCCTGCAGAACCCCACAAAGTAGGTGCCAAAGGCAGGATCTCTTACTCCAGATCAACAGTGACTGAAACTGGCCATGGAGGAAGAAAGAGAACCAGCACAACACAGTACCACCCACCCCCAACTCACACAGCCAGTCCAGAACGATACCATGGTCAATGATATCAAAGGCCACTGAGAGGTCAAAAAGAGCAAGGATGGATACACTATCCTACCCCATCCCATTCCTGCCAGAGGTCATCCAAAAGCACGGCCATGCTGTTTCAGTCCCATGGCCAGACCTGAAACCCAGCTGAAAGGGGTCCAGATAACCTGCTTCATCAAAAGTCTGAAGCTGCTGTGTGACCATCTTCTCAACAACCTTCCCTAAGGTAAGAAGGTTGGATATTGGATGAAAATTGTCCAGTATGCTGGAGTCTAGTGACAACTGCTTGAGGAGGGTGCAAACCAACATCTCTAAGAGGCAGAGGAACAACCCACCCCTCAACAATGATTGACCATCACTAGAACCCAGCTGTACGTTGCCTCCTGGGCAGCCTTCATCAATCAGGAGGGACATAGATCTAATAAGTAGGTGGCCGAGCTCACAGTCCTTATGACTGTGTTATGACAATTCCCAAGTGTTTAAAAACTTACCTGTTTTTTTTTTACACTGATCTATTTTTAAGTCTGCCAAAATGTTTAGATTTGTCTATCTATCTATCTATCTATCTATCTATCTATCTATCTATCTATCTATCTTCTTTTGAAGTTTTGTCATTGCAATCTACATTGCCCTGAGATCATTGGGGATGAATAGAGAAGGGCATATACATTTGAGCCTTAACTTGCAAAGCCATTATTCAACAACACTATAGGTAGAGGAGGGAGAATCCGTGGTCTTACACTCTAGGACCTTTGGGAGTCATAGTCAGCAAAGCTTATGGTGAGCCATGCTGGTTGTTGCAGTTAAACAATGACTGGATGGGGGACACATATTCCCCTTCCTTGTTGTGGATTAACAGCAAGGAGGATTAAAATGCTTGCTTTGGACCAAGATTCCCCACTAAGCTAGGTTGCTGAGATCTAGCAATATGTGCCTTTTTGCTCCAAATGTGTCTTTTTGCCTCAGCCATATTTATTCACTACTATGAAAATCATCATACGTTGATAAAATCCTAAATGTAAACATCTATGGGTCAATTTAAAGATTTTCAGGGATCAAGCAGTGAATATCAGAGACACATACCAGGGGATTAGTATTAATATGATTCTTCTTTGCTGGTAAGTAATGAAAACGAAGACATCTGAATCTTAATTAAAGGACTATGTTGATTTTAGGATTTAGTAATAAATGTTAACTGCTCCTTGGGCTTAAGATTAATGCCAACATTTACCAAGATGCTTACTTGACACTGGAAGTCATCCAAAGATTGGAATTCACATGAATTCTAAATTTTCCATCATACTGGATTATCTTCAAAAATAAAAGAACAAATGCCTAATCTATGAAAATAGGTATTTTTTTTATATGCACATTTTGATGGGTATTCCACCTGGCAAAACTTGCCTTCATCTTATTTCAGATGGTGTATTTAATCCAAAATAGACCTCACTACAAAATGCTTGTGCTATACTCCTGTACAATCAGGTACAAATGACAACTGAGGATACAGATATGAACTGACAAATGCACATGTATCCACACACAGACGAGACCAGGCAGTTTTGACCAAGAAAAGCTAGGGCATACTAGCTCCATGTGGCTCACACGGACTAGCAGTAGATCTCCCATGTTTCAGACAGGATTTTCTTCCAGCCCTGCTCGTAAATACCAAGAATCAAACCTGGGGGTTTCTACAAAGCCAGGGCTTAATACAGAACAAAAGTTCTTCCCTAAATAGACAACATGCACAAGCATCAGAATGGAGTACAGGCGAGTGAGACAGGACACTGGTGAGTGCACAGAGATGCATATTTTAATAAAAATAATTCTGTCAAAATACAACAGAATGTGGGTTTCTATATTTCCAGTACAATTTCTCTCTCTCTTGTCAGTTAAAATGTCCTCCTTTTGGAAGGTTTTCATGCTAGAGTTGGTTAAATGAACTCACAAATACTAAGCAGAAACTGATCCAATGTGCACAGCTTGGAAGGATATTCATCAAGTCCCCAATAAAGTGAAAATGAGAAGTGAGATTGTGGAAGCCTTTTGGAGCCCACATTCTGCTCAGCCCATTTATTTTGATAGGATACTTTCTTTAAAAAAATCTGAACAGTTGGTATCATTGAAACGAAAAGATCTGAGATTCCATACTAGAGCTGGTACCTGAGTTTGCAACAAGTGGGAGGAAGTGGAAAGGAGATGGTTAAAGGAGAACTCTTTACATTTCATTGTTTCAGCATCAGACCCAAAATGTAATCTAATTATGCCTGCCTGATAGTTCAGTCTCAGCTAGTTCAAGATGAGCAGCTGACCCCCAACACTTAAAGCTCCAGCCAAAAAGGGAGGGAAAAAAACAACCGTCAGTCAAAGATATAAACAGACTTGTCGGTAGTGATCCTTAACATTCTTCTACACCTATTATACATTTCAAACACTTCCAAAACAAGTGCCAGTCCAACACCAGTAAATAAATCAATTAGGTAAGAGGATTTGGCAGTTTTGATTACAGAATGCGGAGGACCAAATGGTGGTAGACAAAGCACCAACTGTTGCTGACATGACTGTTGCTCCCTTTGTTTGAAAAGTTATGATTGGCAACTTGCATCAAGACGGCCAGTTTGGATCATTAGTAGGTGGCATTCCAGTGCTAGAACTTTCTAATTTACAGCCAAGTACCCCTGGAGTTGATTGCAAAAAATATATGGAAGAAAAATGAGATTGTTCTTTGCACAAGGACATCTACCTGGGGCTCTGAAACAACAAGGCATCTATAATACAGAGACCATCCTTCCCATTCTAGTGTCCTCCAGAGGCTAAATCCTACTAGCTGTAGTCTTCGTAGTTGTGAAAGAACTACTGCAGATTATTCCACTGCTGTAGCAGAGAGTAATCAAAGAAATGACACTCTTACATTTTGGATTTCCCAATGTCCATTTTACAGACACCATGGCCAGGGACTTGTAGTCTAACTTATGATCTACATGGCAAATGATCAGGAAACAGTTGCCAAGCCTTAGCTACCATTGTTCTGTTTAATGGTTAAGTAGATGAAAACCTGGAATTAGATGGATTGCTTGCTGGCAAGATGACAGAACCAGTCAGATGATGTCAAAAAGAAAATACACCCCTAAGAAATGTGCCAGTTACAACCAGACACCACATGACACCTGGCAGTCTAACTCATCCATAATCTCCTTCAGATTTCATCATAAAATTGAGGTGAAATGTAAGATGTGGCTTTAATGCTAGCCACTCCTCTGCCCCTTTTGCTGATGTGAGCATGGAGAACTCAAATGCTTCTGCACTATTTTGTGACCTTGAAAGTGGTAAAAAGTGCAAACCACAAACAGAATTTACAAGTTTTTCCCTTCAAACATGCCATAGGATTTCATGCAATCCTTTTCCATAATATATGTACTGTGGCCTCTTAAGAGCTATTATAACTAGTATTAAAACATCTGATTGTCTTGGATGCACACCCCAAGACTCAGGAATTGCTGAATCAACCGCAGCACTGACTGTAATGTTTCCTAAATTAAATTTTATCTGCCACATCTTCAGGGCTATGGCATCAAAACGGTGAGTCATCAAGTGCAGATTGTCTTTGATCAAGAAAATGTAACCTTATTCTTTTACAAAAATTGGCACCACTGCCACCACCAGTTAGAGATGGCGACTTGCTTCTTGCTGAGAAAATATTTTCGAGTGCAAAAACTGCCATGAAAACTTTTAAGCAAAGGAAGGCAAAGAAACCACAGCTTGGAAAAAGCAGCAAATAAGAAAGACAAAAAAAAACACCCAACCTCTTGAAGCAACTTTGAAAAAGGAATGAGATGAAAACTGGAGAAAACAAATCAAATAGGAAAGAAATTTGCCCCAGGATAAGCAGGAGATTGGATTGTTGAAGCTCATCTTAAAACGGTGAACATTTAAAAGTGGAATCCAACACTGGAAATCACCATGAAGTCTAAAAGCAACCCAAAACACAGCAGGCCAAATAGAGAGCTGGTAGTGGTCTGATACAGACATTTGCCACTTAAGAAATTACAACAGATGGGTGGTGGACAAATCATTCTGTTTTTAAGCTGGGGCTGCTAGATATCTGGTGGTACTATAACTTTATGGCTTGGTATTATAATTTCTAAACTAGCCTTGCAAGTCCTCAAAATGTATAAGGCAAGGTAAAACCAAGTAACAGTAATATATAACTTCATGACCATCCAGGTAAAAGGAAATGGATAGATGTTTGTACTTGTCAAAAGTGCAAACAAGAGAACATTTTATTTTGATCTAGCTAGCACAACAGAGCCATAATGGCCAAATTATGCAATGCAACCAGAGTCTGGAACTGTATTTTCCATAAACAACCCTTTGATGTGCCCACTTTTCCTTCAGTGTCTTGCACTAACATTCAGTCCTGATCTGCCAAGGAGACAGTAATGCACGGTCTTCTAATTATCCCCTCAACTCTGGATGTCTTACATACAAACCTGAAAGCAGAAGTTGGTCTCTTCTGAGAACGGGCATTACCCTCACAGAAATTAATGGAAGTTGTTCAGGCGCATTCTTATGACCTGCCCAGGTTCCACCCCACTGGTAATGCTTGCATAACATTCTAAATGCACTGCATTTGTGCAAAGATGCACATTCTTTTCATTATAGCTACATGTCCTCAACCAAAAATGCCATTTCTATATTGATATAATTATAATTCTCTACCATCAATGGAAGCATTTTCTTTATCAAAAACCTCTCTCTTTCATGTTAGCTTCTGCAAGTGCTTACTTTTAACTAAATGTCTTGCCTGTTGAATTTATGGATTTTTAAAAAATTTTCCCATCAGAAAATATATTTTAAAAGCTAGGCAAAATGTTGAAATATATTGGCAAGCCAACAATTATGATGTTCAAATGTTAACTGCCTTTAGTACAGCAGGATTCCTCTGATGTACTACAAGACATACAGTAACAAATCCCTCATGTAAATTAAACTAGATTGGAGTTTCCAATCTATTATTCCAGCAGTACTTTGTAAGGATTCTTACAATATATTTTTCCAATGTTTGGAAATTGATTACCTAATATTTTTTAAAAGATTATTCCCTGGAGTAAAACTGCTTTTCTTTTTAAAAAAGAAAGAGTACTATTGGCTTGCACCCTCTTTTCAGTGAATGGCTGGCAAGATAAAAACAAGGCTTTTGTACCACTGTCGTAACAGTATAATATCAAAGATATGCAGGCAATGAAACAATGAGATAAAAACCAGCTTCATAAACTCAAAGACTGAGGGGGGAATTCTTGCCATTTTGATGACTCAGCTTTTCATGGTTAGCAACTGGGATGGAGACATCTATCCACTTTATAAGGGAAGATCCTAGGAAGAGGTCTCTAAATAGAAAAGGAAAGAAAATGCTGGACTAATACATAGCTCCCAATTTCCATTCCATCTCGATTCCAGGCAGTGTTTGGGTACTAGGAGTAGGAAGCAGGCAAGCCTTCTTCCCCTTCCTCTTTGTAGCAAGTCTTAGGGTTAGATGTGAGTTGCCTCCCAAACGACCTTGTCAGAGTGGAAGTGCTGGTCCCCTTGGAGCAGACCTAGGATTCCTTGCTCTGATGAAGGAGAGGGGAACATGTGGTCCTCCAGAGTTTGTCAAGGTCCCAGCAACCCCAGGGAATATGGCCAGTGATCAGGAATTTGGGAAGTTGTAGCTGAGCAACAAATTCCCACAGCGATGCCCTAATGTCTGACTGTCACAAGAGATCTTCCTGAGTCTCTACAGAGTTTGGGGACACACTCAGCTAACAGCAGTTCTCTTTCTAAGCATCACAGGATATTCTATTAAAGGGACAGACTTGAACTGAGCACTTTTTTATTCCCAATCTCAATCTTTCCCCAGAGTGAATTTCCAGGGTGCATCCATAGGGTTTCTCAGGTCTGTGTGTCGTAGGCACAGAAAAAAAGAAGATAAGCTATTTTGTTTGGATATCATGGCTAATATTCCAATAAGCACATTCAGCCTCTTGTTTTTTATGAGGACCAGCAACAGTGAACAATACTGTCCAAGGAGCACACGTGCCAATAAGTTTCTCTGAACATAAAAATAAAATTAAAACAAAAAACAGGCCATCACCAACTCAGATACACTTTTATCTCTAAATGAATTAGAAACCAGCTCAGCACAAACTCTCCAGGTATAAATACTGGTGGCTCAGTCAAAGAAATAAAATAACATAATAAAATAAAGGTAAAATCCTAAAGTCAGAAGGCGCTACATCAGAAGGACCAGTGAAAATGCCAAGTGCTGTGGGGCAGAGCAGGATGCGGCCGTGATGGGAGGACAGGGTGGGGTGGGGGCCCTGCTAGCAGTTTCCAGGGCGAGCAATGAAGGCGCATCAAGGGTCCTCCTCTTCCTCCTCCTCCTCCTCCCCTCCCGCCTCAGTCAGCACTCTGTCCTTCTGCTGGGCAACGGGCGGAGGGCGGGCGCAGGTGAGAAACCGCAAGGCAGGAAGAGGTGAAAGGGCAGCCCTGGAGGAGTCACTCTGCCTCCCGCAGTGGCTAGTGCAAATAGTCGTCCACTCTGGCGAAGGAGCAGGAGCCCAAGCCCACGCGAGCCATGAGTCGCAAGCACTCCGAGGCCTGGCCCAGGGCGAGCAGCAGTGGGGGCTGCTTTGGCAGGTTCTGAGACTCTGGGGAGAGAAACAAACCAGAGATGCTCAAGGAACATGTCATCCAGAGAGGCAACTTTTTGCTCGCCTCCCCTCCCTTCCACCACCCACCTCCCTAGCAGTCCTGCAACAGGCAGACAAGGTTTGGGTCTGGTGGGCACGGTGGGCATTTGGAAAGCCTGTGGTGGCTATTCTCACAAAATGGCTGGCAGGAGGGGTGGGCGCATTTCCCAAATGGTTGTTGAACAGAATAGCCATTTACTAACCAGCAAATTAGTGACACTGCAGTATGTCATCCTTTTAGCTCTCTAGCACCCCAACTTATTTTTGTCTTTTGGGGGACAGGGGAGATGATCCACTTCCAAACAAAGCATGGGGCTGCAGCCACTTCTATTTTCTAAGAAATCTGACCCTGATGAACACCCAGGACTATTTTTCTCAATAAAGGGGATGCTGAAGTGTTACAACTTCTACCAGCTTCCCAGTCATTGCTACAAAATGCATGGGCCATTCAGTGTCTTAGCCCACAGTTGTTAAAAAATGTCAGTGACCCAGGGCAACTGTTCATGGGATCCTTCAGGAAGCCCAGGATGGAAAGAGCACCCTATGAGAAAACCCCTTTTTAAACCCACACAGTCACAGACCTTTGACTGGCACCTGTCTCAATGACATGAAACAGCAGCGAACTTAGGCACATTTGCTTTTGGTCTTCATGTCCCGCCTCTTTTTTTCATTCTCACAACAGCACTGTTTAGATGCATTTCTTTCTTTTTTTCTTTTACATATACATGCACATACTCCAGCACAGGTAATTTGCCAATGCTTGCTGCCAAAATCCCTGCCACATTAACTATCTCAGTCCAGCAAGAGGTGCCCAAAGAGAAGTTACATCTGGTTCCCAGGCATCAACTTACCCAAAATAGCGCTATTGAGTGCAGCACACACAGGCTCCCTCTGGATTGGATCCAGCTGCTGACCAACCGGACAGTTCCAAGGGTCAGAGTAGGCCAGCAAGCTGAATGCATCCTGAAAGAGGAATAAGAGATCTCAGCAGAGCAGCAATATCACTTGGTCTCAGTGGCACAACTGTTCTGCAGGGGCCCACCCAGACTACAACTTCCATGATTTCAAGACCGCTTGGACATAGTAGCCCACCCTATCTTGAAGGCACAAGGGTCTCTTAGACTGTTAAGCAGAGAGTGCTAGTGGGCTAGTGTGGCATGCCGAGGACCACATTCCTAAACAGGGCAGGGCCAGTGTTTGTTTTTTCCTTGATTATTATTTTAAATATTAATACATACTTTGGGTTTTTTTCTTTTTAAATTTGGGGGGGAGGTATTTCTGATCACAGTAAACCTCTCAACTATTTATTTAAGCTGCAATTTTTTCCCCTTCAACAATAGGGAATAATACTAATACTACAGCTCCCTCTACTGACCAGTGGAAAGTATTTTCTCTTTAACAGATGGAAAAACATGCAGGAAAGAGATCATTGGAAGAGTGGGGGGCCAATTTTATTTTATTAGTGGGGAGGGGCTCAAGGAATGGTTTAAATGATTAAATGGGAATCTTAGGCCTTTTAGAGGCTTAGGATATCCATTTTTCTCTTTAAAACAGCCTTCCCTGGGGGAAAAAGCCCCAGAAAAAATCAGTTTGATCAGGAACACATTGATGCCTTAAGCCTCTGCAAGAATTAAAGAATCAATTTTGTTTCCCAGCTGCCTTAAAACAGTCACCCCCACCTACTCTGAGGGACTGCAAAAAGTCAGCACAGACTGATTTTTGATCCCATCGTGGTTCAGTTCAGAGAAGCATGTAAAAGACTATGATTTCACCCATTGACTGATAAACTCCTCCTCATTTCAACCATTGGCCACCATTGTTCTGCTGCGCTGAAGAGGCAGGCCTGGCAGTGGAATCAACCACTGAGACAAGAGGAACAAAAGAAGGAGGTGGCAAGTGATGCAGCTTGTTCGCTGTCCCTTTAGAAACTCAAATTATGGTTTGAGTTAACTGCAAACCATGATCTACAATGATATTGAAAATCAGGCCATGGGGAAAATCTCTGTGAAAGAATCCATGTCTACAGTGGGGCCTTTTTGTATCAGTCACAGAGTATTCCATAGGCAACATTTCTAGCCATTTGGGACTACTACAGGGAGTATGTCCAATGACATCAGGATGGAAAGGGGTAAAAGTTTTGGGCCCTTTCTAAAAATGTTTGGCAGAGGCAAAAAATGCAGACCATCTCGCTGCCAGCGTTCAAAGCCAGAGGAGCCACCAAAAAGGTGAGGGCACGTATAGCCCACAGATGCCCACTGGAAGCTTGTGGTCTTTAATCCAGACAGAAATTGTTGTGGGAAAGGTAACAGGAAATGGACAGAGTGAGTGGTTTGCAGTTCAGCTTGCTGGCTAGCAGAATATTGATCCAATGTTGTCCTCCTCCTCCAGCTCTGGACAGAGTAGCCAGGACGGGCTTCCATCACCTAACAGGGTGAGTAAGCAGAGCAAGCCTGCCTGTCATTGTAGGGAATTATCTCTGGATACGTTTACTTGAATGCAAGGAAGGCGGGCACCGGATTTCTTTTTGTGCAACCCTTTCTTTGTGGCAGCCTTTGTATATACGCCAGGGGATGCTATCAGAGACAGCATCTCATCAGTGATGCTCCTTCCTGTTACCAAGGACGGTGATGGTTTCTGAAGCTCTGAATGGCTTGGGACAATTTTATTCCCTTTTGAAATTCTCGCTGAACTCTTTTAATGTCTTTTACTGTCTTCTTGGTCTCATCTTTTAAACAAATAATGCCGAAACCTTAATATTTTTTTTACACAGAAATAAGAGATGACATATTTTGCATGAAAAAACAGCAGTTCTAGTAAAGAATTCAGTCAAGCCTCTACCTGTAACATTTTCTTGTGGGTTGTGTTCTTCCCATAGTCTCTGCATAGCTGCTCGCTGAGGATCTGGAGCTCCCGCCCAAACTGGATCATCCGCTCGGTGGCAGCATGGTTCCCTCCACAGAGTTGCCTCTGAGGACAGCCATCTTCTGGAGAGAAGAGGAAAGCCTGATGAACGAATCAGCAACCTGTGCGGCACCAAAGCACCTGCCTTCTTCACCCCCACTTATCCCCCAAATTATTAGCCATATAGCCCACTGGGTACAGAAGTCTTCTAAGAGCCTCTCCCTGGAAGCACATTTTAACCTTTTACTCTTTTTTTCAGCGTTCCAGTACTGGCTGCAAATCCACCGATGTGAGTATTAAATGACACATGCTTAACATTTCAGAAGTTAAATTCTATGCCAGATCATATATGAAATACAGCCCTTTGTAAACAATGGCTGGGTCCACCCATCATGCTAAACCAGGATGGATTTCATCCATTATTTGTTGAATAAACCAGAATACATGGGTTTATACATAACACTAAATCCTAAACACTGTTTACAAATCACCAAAGTTGAAAGTACACATCAAGTAAGCTAGGTACAGACTGTATCCCCCCAAGTCTTTGGGGGGCTCTCAGAGAATTATGGTCCCCACAGAGGACTGATCCATAAATATTAGGGAGAACCAGGGAGACTTTGGAGCCAGGGCTCAGAAGGGCAAGTGGGAAAGAACTGGCACATATCCACTAGGATATGTGCAGATCAGGATTCCTTCAAGTACTTTCCAAATCTGTAGGAACAACAGCAGGTTGACAACCAGATGGCTGAGAAGCAGAAAAGCAGGGCGGGGGGGGGGGGACTGAACTACCCCAAGCATTTGAGGTCACTGGATGAAACAAGATATATAGTCTCTCTCAAACTTTCTTCCAAATTAGAATTTTTAACATAGGGGGAGGTAGCATATTCAAAGTACTTATATAAATTAATGTCATTATAATTAAAATAAGGAAAACTGAATCAAATTTACCATCAGCTTGTTCACCCTTGAGCCACCTTTTTTTAAGTGTGGCTCCAAATCAGTCCAAATCAAGTTAGGCCCATGGCCCAAAAGAGCTTGCACAAAGCAAAACCAAGCAGATCACATTATGGCTTTGTGTAATGGGTGAACTTGACCAGTGACTGCCTACATATACACATCTCTCAATATTTTGTAGCACAAGCAAAATATATTGAATGTATGGACTGGAAAAGGCTTCTGACGTAGAATAATTTTTTGTAAGAAACATTACCCACCCTTGCTAAATGAACTGTTTTCTCAGAGAAAGATTAGAGCATTTCTTCTCCCGCACAGACCTACCCATGCTGGAATCATCAGTCTGTAGAATCTCTTCATGCTTGTAAGTGCCATTCATTATTCGTGTGGCTGAATTCTCCAGGACTCCATTGGGGTAGTGCTCCGCCTCCATCTCCATTTCACTGTCACTGAATGAAGATGATGGAGAACATTAGAAAGGAGATGGAGGGGGTACGAGAGAAAGAAATGCCAAAAGAGGGAAAGACATATCCTCAATAAAAACAGATAGCAGATAGATCAATGGAGGTACAGGGGGATTTAATTTAGAATATGTACCAAAGCATCTGACGACAGCCTCAAATGGCATCTACATGACCCCCATAATAATTAAGCAAGTTAATCTTACAAGATTCCGGCATTCTCACAATCTCAAGAGTAAGATCAACCACAGTCTTTTTTTGGTGCCCATGTCGTTGTACGACATTTTGAAATCTACTAGGTGGCTGAAAATTTACCAATTCCCAATAGACTGATACAGTAACAAAAAAATTACAT